GTACTTCATACACTCTAAACAAGTTTCCATCTGTGGTGCATGCTTAAGGTAACCTGTGAATCTTGGTCCCTATGGAAATGGTAGCTTACAGGCCTACTGGCCCGCTGACAGGCTTTTGTTTGCTTCAATTAGTTCTATGGAAATGCAAAACCTGCTTTAAGAATGTGAAATGCAGGAAATAAAAAATCAATTTGGCAAAAATACTTTTATAAAACATATTCCACTTTTTGCTAATATTGACCCTGATTGAGACTCCTTCAGGTAGCAACCTCAAAAGGTCACTCCATTACTCTACCATTTTCACAGGGATCAACAGCCACAGTTTACCTTATGCACAAGCTACAGGTGAAAGGTTGTGTGATACAGTTCTTTGACTAGGCATAGTTGTATTAAATATGATAATGAGCACCAATATCCAACTTTTTCAGGAAAACAGCACAGAAAGGATTGATAGTATGCCATTTCAATCAAAAAAAGATTATGGTTCTATAGTTCATTGAACTGTAATTACTTATATTTAATAATTGCTTAAATCCCTTAAGCATGTTATCATGCACCTGGTGATAACTGGAATGTTGTGGAGCCCTCTCTTGCACCACATGCCCAAACCTTTTTGAAGGTAGAGACAGAGAATGTGAGGGCAAAGAGTGGCACAAGTGCTGGAGTAGCTGGCTGGCGAAGTCTGCTCTTTAGGTGGATGAAGCTGGGTATCGCAATCTACAGGACAGGATGCTGAAGCAGCTTGGAACCAGAGCAGGAGATAGTAGCAGAGCCTGTATGCAGTTAGCAACCAGCGACAGCCGGGCAACAAGGGACCAAGCCAGTAGATAGAGCAAGTCTAAGAAGAAGGCCAAGGTCAGTAACAGCTGGGTGGTGCAGTACAGAATCAGCAGGCAAAGACAAGTCCAGTAAACAGGCTGAGGTCAGATGCCGAGGTTGAGTGATCAGATGAACAAGGTTAGGACAGTAGCAAGGGCAAACTCCTAAGAGAAAGAAAGGTTATACGCAGGTAATCTGGTTCAGTGGATCATTCTCAGGATTACAGGTACAAGCTGAACACCATTCAGCATCTGCTCATGGTGACAGACCAGTTTAAATAGGCCACTGGCATCATCAAGTGCACACAATAATTGCGAGCAAGCATGATGAACTGGAATAGCACGTCTAACCAGGGGTGGACTGACAACTCATGGGGCCCCTGGGCAATAGGGGATCATGGGGCCCCTGTGTCCTTGCCCAAACTCAAAAAAGCCTATGAAAAAGGTATCAGGGGCATCTCATGGGGCCCCCTACTGACCCCGGGCCCTCGGGCAGTGCCCGAGTTTCCAAATGGTCAGTCCGCCCCTGCGTCTAACATTGTTTCTTTACTTAGACTTATAAGCATGTGTGCACAAATATGAGAATAAGCTCGTACTGGTTTTCTGGTGCTAGGAATCTGGTTTACCTTACACATGTATGACACCTTTCTTTGTGTTTATAACGTGAGTAGACTGCAGCTTGGGTATATTCCAGGTCTCAGTACAAAATGGGAAAATCTTATTGGTTACCCTAGGCCACAGGAACTTTTAAACACTTAAGACCTTGTTTGTTTAAAGTAGGCAATTCCTTTTTACTGTTTATTTTAGATGGTTTATAGATACTGTGAACTGCAGTCAAAAAGAGAATATTGCACAATTATTTTAAACCAAAGGCACTGTTGCTGTAGATGGTACATGATCTCTGTGCCTACAGCCTTTGTGTTTTTCATCGACTTTACACTAACCCCAAGCGATTTCTACATCCAAGACATCTTGAAGTGTCATTGCAATTTGCATGGTTTGTCTCATGATCCTGCACTTTACAGCAGACCCTGGAAAATGATGTTTTTATTTAATGTCGTAAATTAGGTGGAAATAAGGACAATGCTTTGAAAGTAGTCTCCAGCTGATTTGAAATTTAAATTCTGTTATATTAAGGATGTGTCAGGCAGTAATTAAAATTAATGAAATGCATGGACTCTTTTCAGCAAGACACAAAGCTCATTTCTACAGAATAATACTTGTCAGAAATTTCAGTTTAGAACAAAATAAAGACAAAACAATGGGTTTAATGTTTACTGTGAAATTCTTCAATTATAAAGTCATGATTAGTGTTATTCTACATTGATCAAAACCAGCACAACAAACCAAAACAGACAGGAAATGTGCAAAGATGAAAATTCAACTGAACAATACGATAGACTCCTTAAGTGGAAAGTAGAATACATCCAGCAAATCTTACCATCCTTTTTCATGACTAAAAGCTTTTCACAAGAAGCGACAAAGTAATTTTACTCTTTATTGCACACACAATATATTTAATCACTGACAAGGCTGCATTCCTGCTTGTCAATAAACATCAATAACGTTTTTACAATCACTGCTTACAGATAACTTAGGGCACTACATGCTAAAAGATAGCACAATACTGATATTAGACAACAGTATGTTATTGGCGAAGAGAAATTACAACCCAGTTCCATTAAAAACATTTTTTTAGTTTTGGATAGAATAGGGAATAATTATGACTTCTGTTGAATTTTTATGTCTCATGGGCAGATTTCAACAATTACGGAAAATCTCTTGAATGGGGACACAAAAAATGTGTTTTTAGCACAATAGGAAAGGTTTAGAACTTCTGATAATGGTGGGGTTTTTTTTTTTTGCTGTTTCTTGCATAGTTGTCACCAAAATTCTCTCCAATTAGGTCACAGACAGAAATGTTAACTCTTCCTCACTCTGTCAACATTTTTGGAGTTAACCTTAAACTTGCTTTTAAAAATATGTGTTTTGACATCAAAATGTCATGTCCTGTCTTGGGAAAACCAATTTTTGTGCAGTGGAAGGACTGTTTCTATGTTCTATGGTAGAATTCACACAACATTCCCTGCACAAAGTGTTGCAAGTGATGATCCAGTTGGTATCATTATTTGCAATTATAGCATTATAGAACCAGCATTACCAATGTAAAAAATATTTTTACATGTTTTATTGGTCCAAAAAAAGGCAAAATTGAATTACAGAGGCGCAAAGAACAGTTAGTCTACACAGTACCTCATATGTTGAAGCTGGAGGAATGCATACAAAGGAGGTATACCCTCTTTTCTCAACTTCTCTGTCCCCGTATTTGTCTGGATGTTTGTCTGTAAGTTTCCCCAGGTTTGCATTGCTTGGATCTTCTCTTTTATGTATGTAACCCCAGTTAGCTTTCTTGACATAACTTGTGTATTCTTTGACACTCTTTGATGCTCTTTGTTTTTACTACAAATTGTTTTGGTGTTTGTGGCATACCTTCCTGAAGCAAATTTGCTGTAAATGTTAATGTTGACTGCAATTCTTCTGTGTGTGAAGGAGATATACACCATACTTTCCAACTTTCTGAGATGATAAAGAGGGACATCTTTTAGCATGCAATGGGGCTGATTTACTAAAACTAGAGAGTGCAAAATCTGGTGCAACTGTCCACAGTAGCCAATCAGCTTCTGACTTTTTCTATTTCAATTAAGCATTGATTAAAAAAATGGAAGCTGATTGGTTTCTATGCAGAGCTACACCAACCAAATTTTGTACTCTCCAGTTTTAGTAAATCAACCCTATTATGTAGGCAAAGAGCATGTACCTGCCACAGCCCCGGTTACATGGAGCACAAAATTGATGGCTAAACCACACAAATGCTTTTTTTGACCATAATTTTTCCTTTATATTGGCTTTTCAAAATTACAAATGCAGTAATATAGAGGTTGAATAAAAAGCTAAGTGCATCATAACAGTTTTCATAACAAAAAGAAGACATCTAAAGCTGCAGAAGGGGCAGGGGGACTTGGTCTTAAAAAAAGGGACAGTCCCTCAAAATGAAAGACAGTTGGGAGTTATGATGCATAATGAATGTTTCTGAAATGTACCCTGCCCCAGTAAAATTCTGTTCAGACTGTGGGCTTAGAAGAGCCACCAGCATTTCCTTTAAGTAAGGTGGCATACATATAGCTGACGGTATCTGTTCTGGGCAGTTTTTAGAAGGCATTACAAGGCCTCAAAAGATTAAATAATTTCACAGACAAATTTAGAACTGCTTATAACCAGTAAGTGACAGTGAAGAAACCTTTTTGTGTGTAACACTTATCTCACAGATGTAAAAATATACTATTAAAGTAGAACTAAAGGCAAACATTTTTTTTTTCATTTTGGATAGAATAAGCTCTGGTTCACACTGGATCTGACTTGACATCGTGCGACTTCATGCATGTCAGTGCGACCCTAGGTGTGACTTGGAAGACATCTGTGCGACTTCATGCACAGGTGTCTATGCATTTCCCAACTGAAATCACAAAAAGTGGTGCAGGAAACTACTTTCAAAACCCGTGCAACTCCGACGGAGTTGGCATCACATCGATTTGAATGGTTCCATTGTGGACAATATGGTGCAACTTGCCATGCAATTTTTAAACTGTCAAATTACATGAAAAGTCACACCAGTGTGAACCAGGACTAAGGGAGGGTTGTAACCCCTGACAGTTTTTACATTTTTAGTTTTGTTTTTTGCTATCTGTGTTCCATTGGGGAGATATTCCTTCAATAGCTGTCCCATAGCCACAACAGAAAGTGAGGGAATCCCTGGTTGTCACCAGAAGATTTCCCCTCTATTCCTGGTCTGGTGTCAACCCAAAATTTGTGATTTTCGTTTACTTTCACTTTCAATGATAACGATTAAAAGGACAAATAGAGAGGATGAATCTCTCTAACTGTGGCACAGACAGCAATGCAATCAGACAGGGGTTTCACTCCATCTCCCCTCTATCCAAAATGAACAAAAAATGCCTTTAGTTATACTTTAATGCAAAAAGTACAATAGAAATGCAGACAATTTTTAAAACTCTACAATAGCTCAACTTTACCTGGAAAGAAAATGAAGGCAGGAACATTTGTAACATAGAACATATTACTACTGCACCTTCTAAGTAACAAATCAAATCTACTCTTTTACAGGCAATGTTGGCCAGAGGTAATGGGGATTCATCCAGAAAGAAAGATGATGATGAACATCCAAGACACCGGCTTATACCCTTGGGAAGGAAGATCTATGAATTTTACAATGCACCTATAGTTAAATTCTGGTTTTATACAGTAAGTTTCCTATGATTGCTTACACTATTATTATTAGTACTTCAGTACAGTAGCAGCAGGGATAAATACTCAGTAGTAGGTAGTGCTTGCTTATTAACCTCCCTGGCGGTAGTCCCGAGTGTAGCTCGGGGTAAAGTTTCAGCACCACAAGCATTAACCCCGAGCTACACTCGGGCTTACCATGCGGCGCTGCTCCGGGATCTGTTCTCCTCTTACCTTGTCCTCTCTTGCAGTGTCCCCTGTAATGTCCTCCATCGGATGCCGACATCTGTCTTCTGGGTTCCGTTCCCTGCGACGTCGGGACGTAAGGGGACAGAACTAGAGTGAAATTTGAAAATGACAAAAAGTGACATTCACTAAATTCACTAAAATAACATAGTAAAACATTGCTGTATAAAACCATTTCACATACATTTTGTCCCTACTGCTTTGTCCTGTGCCCTGCCTGCATTTTTACTGTTCTTTCTGCCTGGAAACTGAGGAAAGTCCATGGCGTCCAAAAAGCGTCCCTTTATGTCAAAAGTGGTTTTAGACCAGCTAGAGAACAGCAATAGTAAATCAGAACCACTTGCAGAATTGAGTGATAATGATTCGTGGGGAAATTCGTCATCAGACACTGAAAACGATTTTGCGACTTTGCTCAGCGATGTGCGAACTTGGCTCTATATTTCAAATTTCAGTGTTTTTGGTTTGATTATATTGTTGAATTAAATTTATTATTATTATATTATTATTTTTTATGATTATTTATTAAATTATAATTTATGATTTCGTGTTTCAAATTTTAACATACCCGGGATGTTTACTAGACTCTCGTTCGGACAGATTTTAGTGAGTTATTCCTAATAATTACAGGCCTACAATAAAAAAAATACATATTTCCATGCAAAAAAAATGTACCGCTTTGAGCACAGAAATATGGACATTATCAGACCGCTAGGGAGGTTAAAGACTTTCAGTTGTTTTAGTTCACATAGGTATAAACGCTCAGATTATTGCCATACTAATATTTTTTATTTACTTGTGTATGCCACAATAAAGTTTTGTTCACACAGGCTTCAGCTTGTACAAAAGCAGTGTGTGCAGCAAGCATTTTCAAAGCTTCCAACAAACTTCAAGCAGCTTTGTTGAAGCGTTTAGCATTCAGCAACTTTTTGGAGTGCCAATAGGAGTGCCTATCGTCACTATTACTATACTGCCAACAGTATTCAGTGCTCTTCAGCACTTCTTGAAGTTTTTTGAAAGCCTGCTGAAGCCTTCTAGCACCTTAACCACTTCCCTCTCACAACTGTTCACCTCCTATGGACCAGAACAATTTTTACATTTCTGCTACGCACCTGTTTATTCTGCAATAAAATTATCATTACTTCAGATAACAAGGCAATTTTTTTTTGGGAAAGGAAAAACAAGGCTTTCGTTTCATGATATTCTCTTGCAACAATGATTTATTTTTGCAGGCTTTAGACAATAATATGTAACAAAACTAAACAAAAGCACTTTTCCGTTTCCCAACCAGTGTTAGTTTCAAAATAAATAGTGTTACTGCAGGAGCAAATTGGATCTTGCTTTGCTGGGTTTTTCTTTTTACTTCCTCTAGATCAACTGTGGGTATAGGATTATAACTTTTTTTTCCTATGGTTGAACTAGATGGACTTTTTTTTCAGCCAGACTATGTAACTATGATACAGATAAAAAGTGCACATTTTATTCTGAAAATTAGTTCTGGTTAAAATGACACTAAAATTATGATTCTTTTACAAAGCATTTCAAAGTTGTTTACAAATGAAATAAGGTTTTTTTTTTTTTTCCAATGTTGCACTTTTTTAAATATGAAAGCTGTAAACATAAGTTAAATGTGTAAAAATATTAATGAACAAAACAAACAAAAACTAAAAAGGTTAAATATTGAAGATGAATAAAATAGAAACAAACAAAAAAATTTGCAGTAAAATAATAGTTGAATGTAGAAGGAGAATAGGTAGTTAATTAGGGCTGATTAGAGTAACCTGATGGTTAATAAGGGGTTAAATAGATATACATTTCATTAAAAAAAAAAAAAAAAAAACTTTTTCTACTTGTCAGGCTGCTTTAATGTGGTTGTAAAGGCTGCACATTTTTTTTACCATACTGCATTCCCCACATTTAGGTAAATTATGTCCCTGTTCTTGTACTCCCACCCTCCCAAACCTACCTTAAACTTACCTGAGACCTCACAGTGGGAGGCTGCTTCTGTCCATCAGATTCTGTGAGCAGAGATCAGGGGGGCAGGGCCAACCCATGCTGTGTGTGTCTATGGACACAGGATGCGTGGCTTGGGAGTGAGTCTGCAGGTGTGCCCCCATAGGAAGCAGCTTCCTATGGGGGTGCACCAAGAAGAGGAGGTTTGAAAAGTGTCAACTGGGGACCCCAAAACAGGAGGTTTGAGGTCATACTGTGCAAATCTATTGCATAGAGCAAGCAAGTACAACATGTTTTGAGAGGGGGGTTCCTAGCAGCAGGGCAGAAGCACTGGATGTGCTACACATGTCCTGTGTACTATGAAGACTATTTTTGGGCATGTGCAGCATGTCCAATGTCTTGAACTACTTAAAGTGACAGTCAGCACTCCCATTTAGATCTTTATTTAACATTCCCTTCTGGAAATTCAAATGCTTTGCAAAACATGTTGTATGCACTGCTTTATTACTAGCTGAAACCTGTGTAAGCAAGGCCTAAAGTATTAATTGCATGAAAAACTGATATTTTATAAGTGAAAATGAACTTACCTGGCCAGTACTAAGGGAACTCACTCTTCCTGTAGCATACTTAATCGTTTTACAATACAGAAACTGCAAAAAAAGAAAAGAAATGAGACTCTATATGCATTGGCCAACTGGAAGCCCCAACAAATCAGTATTTCCAACAATTTTTATTGTGTTTTTTATTTAGTTATTATTTATTTCAGGTACTTATATATATATATATATTGTATTATCTATTTACACAGTGCTTTACACATATATTGTACATTCACATCAGTCCCTAACCCTCAAGGAGCGTGCAATCTAAAGTCCCTAACTTACATTCATACATACATATACTAGGGCCAATTTAGACAGGAGCCAATTAACCTACCAGCATGTCTTTGGAGTGTGGGAGGAAACCGGAGATCCCAGAGGAAACCCATGCAGGCACAGGGAGAACATGCAAACACCAGGCAGGAGGTGCTGTGGTTGGGATTTGAACCAGCGACCCTAGTACTGCCAGGCGGAAGTGCTAACCATTTAGCCACCGTGCTGCCCTGTTTTATCTACCAGTGTCAATATTTAAATCCAGTGTTGTTACATTTTCCAGCATTCTTTTTATGATTAGTAACAGTAAAGCAATGAAAACCTGCTCACAAACATTTTGTATAGCCTGTGTATCTCCACGGTAATAATACGTAGGTCAATTAGTTGATCACCAATAGACTTCTATGGCAGACATACAGGGGTTGATTTTCTAAAGGCATGTAGGCTGTTTGCTTTGCAACAGAAAAAAAAAGAAAAAAAAAAAAGGGAAAATCAGAGTTGGGTCAGGGATGGGATTTCCATCTCACACAGCCAACAAGGGGCGGACCGACAACTCATGGGGCCCCCGGGAAATAGGGGATCATGGGGCCCCTGTGTCCTTGCCCAAACTCAAAAAAGCCTATGAAAAAGGTACCAGAGGCATGTCATGGGGCCCCCTACTGACCCCGTGCCCTTTGGTAGTGCCCGAGTTTCCAAATGGTCAGTCTGCCCCTGCAGCCAACTACCTACTCACATCCTTATGTTCCTGAAAGATATTGATTCCATGGGTCCCAGAATCTCCCAGACGTCTCCATCCAGCACTAAAGATAACTTTTCATTGATCATTTACCAGGAGAGATTTGCTTTTACAAAATCAAATGGAATAGACAGTGTCTCCCATGATCTTCCTATGGAGTATGCAGGTAAGCATGCTTGTTGTGCTCACTGTGGAACTGAATGGGTTAATCCTCTGCATTGTGTAAAAATGCTGTTTGATCCTGTCTTCTCTGATATTCCCCTTCTTTTACTGTCTTCAATCTATCTGCAATTTACAGCACACATTAATTATGGTAGCAAACTTAATAATGTGGAATATATGTTCCTTGAAAAAGAACATTTTTTTAAATCAAGTTGTTATGGGTAAAGTTCCACTTTAACAGGACCTTGTAATTTTCTTCAATATTGAAGTATTTATAAATGATTTAGATGCCTTAGTATAATTAGTATAATTTATACCATTCTGCCAATTCCATCTTCTTACCTCAGTCATGTTCCTATTATTCTATATATGGTAAGCATAACATATAATATACTGTGGCGGTATGGGTTTCATCCTGCCCAGATTCCTGCACAGATATTCAAATTATGTCATTGTAGTCAGATCCATTTGTGATTCACTTGTGCTCCATTAGGGATGAGGGTTCAAAGAGTGGAAAGTTATTAGATAATTGTGCAGCATGAAAGTATTTTATGAGACCTTGCATTCCCAGTACTCCTTGGCATTTAGGGGTTTATAGCATCTGCTTATTAACTCTAGACTGTTTATTACCCCAGTTGAATTTTAACAATTTCATTTGGAAAAAAAAAGTGAATTGGATTTCAAGTTATCCATTGGAATCATTCTGAAAAGATATAAAAATCATTGGGAGAACATTAATATTAATAGAATGTAACCTCCTAAACCATGTAAGTGGGCAACTGAGACCAATTTTCTAGGTCTTCTGAGATAGAGGGAAGGATAGTTACATTTATACAGATTCTGGAAGGAAGAAGCGAAGTTGATGCCCAGGTCAGGGAGGATTGTTCATTTTTTTACATATGTAAATTATGTCACTAAAGGCTTTAGCAGGTATATTGTCTGAATTTACTACATGGTCATAAAAAGAATTATTTTTGTATAGTATTTTGTACATAAAATATAGTTCACAAAATTATCTCTCTGGTTAAACACAATTTAAAATGTACACATTG